TTGGACGGAGGGATGACATTAATACCTTTTTCAATAGTAAGGGGAGGACATGAGTAGTTAATTAATACTAGAGGGAGGACATGAGGTGAATTGAAGGTAGAAGGTTCAAATTGAACTATTTTTATAGTAGAGGGATGATAGTTGGCATTAACCCTAATTTTTAAAGTTAATTATCTATCCACTTAAATTTGTGATAATCTCATTCATAGTAAAAAATAAATAGTAAATTTGTGATAATCTTATTCATAGTAAAAAATAAATAGTTATGATTATATCAAGACTTTATGCGAATTTTGCATGTAAAAAGTTATTACATCTTTCATATTTGGATTCGGCAATTTTGAACCTTTGTTTCTTGCATTTGCAGCACTTCCCTGCAGTGGTAAAATGGCCCCACGTAGAAGGTTCGGATTGCCACTATGCTGCCTGTGATATAATCCCATATTCCCCAATATTTCCGATGTTCCAAAAAATAAAAATAAAAAAATTCTTAAACCAAATATCCAACAATTGGAGGTCACAAGGGACAACCTCACCACCAAGAAGCCCTATCGGTGATTCATTTGAATAAAAACTCGATATTCTAAATTAAAATTTTCATATTTAAATTTTAAATTAAATGAGAAAAGATTTAAAAAAAATAACGACGTTAACCCCTCTCATGGAACTTATTATCAGATGTAAAAAGAAAAAAAAATGGACAACCACGATAACTCGTAGTCAAACAACTTGTACAACTACCAGCATCCTGTGCAGAAAAATGCACTTCCACAACAGGAAGCAGGACATGAAGTGGTTGAAGGAATTCAGACCAAATTAAGATTTCTGAGAAAACTTTCACCATGCTGAAAACCCACTTCACCATCCATGTCTCTAGTACCCTGAACTGCAAATGAAGAGTAGATTTTCATGTCTTCCGCTCTACCATCCGTTTTTTCCATCCAGATCAGTATCTTAACCGTCAGAGACAATAAGAAACGAACTCTTAGAGAGAATTCTTCTATCCATCTGCAACAACCCTCCAGGATATCATAGTTTACTTGAAATTGACATTAGCCCCCATAACTTTCACAAGAAAAGCATAGTCATGAGCTGTTTCCTCACACTGAATATAGCGTCCACCTTCACCAAAATGCCCTCCACTCATATTTGTCTTCAGAATGACAGAACGAGAACACCTAGAACAAGTACTATCCCGTACTTTAGCCACCCATTTGGCAGCCTCCCAAACTCCAACCCTGAAAAAGATGTTTAAAATTACCCGTGTCACTGTTCAAGACATTGGTATGTGTCACTGCCTAAACATTAAATATTCTCATAGAAACAAACATGTAATAATGGAACACATGGAAAAAAAATTCAAGCATGAGAATTTTTGCCTTGAGTCATTATATGATGCTGTAACAAGTACTGACGGATAGCAACCACCATGAGGAATATTTTCATAAGGAGAATAACTAAGAATAGACTTAAATTCAGATTTTATCTGGGGATTTCCAAATTCTTCATAGTCCAGCATGGTGAGAGGCAAACTAGGGTCCAACAATGTGTTCAGCATATCAAGAAATGGGACCTGTTAGAAGCATCAATAAAATATCGGATAAATATCATGTGACATTTAAACCCATAAGGGAGGCAAAAGAAAAGAGGGCATCTGCTGAAGTGAAGACCATTCTGACTATCGTACAACAGTTTAAGCAATGTGCCTCACCAAAGAATTGGTTTTCCCTAGTTCTATCTTTTATATTAGAAGAAAACAGCTCCAACACATCTTTACCTCTTAGTTTGATGGCTAAAAAAGACAAAAAAACCACCTTTACCTATTTAATTATCCATAGAAAACCAAAACAAATAAGAAGAAGATTTTGGACCTTACCAGTTAAAAGGTTAATATTTACCTACTCTTACAGACTTTTAAAACAGTATTATTCCTATAGACAATTTTCTGATCGACTTTGCTAAAAAAATTTATTGTTAATGAAGACCTAAGAAGCACGGACATGATGTAGACATGGATATGCAACATGGATATGACGCAACATGGACATGAGAACACACTATTTTGTAAAAATTTTGGAGATGACAGGGTAAGGGAAGGGCACATAAAACTAATCTCTTATAGAATGTCAAATCTAGCATCTAAGTATATTAGAAATCACTAATTTAACACTTCAAATGCCTTTTTTTTTTTTGGCCCAACTTAACACTTCACTATTAAACATTAATTTTCATTAAGCATAAAAAATGTATATGCAATAACAAAATCTATTGATAAACATAAATATTAAAATACATCAAGAACAAAGACAAGATGTAATAGCTTTAGGAGAAGATTTAGGGTTGATTTCCTTGACTTACATTAAGGTAATAGATTAGTTTTATTTTTGTTTTGGAACCTTTAAGTTTTAATTATTTTATATAGATCTCAATTTAAGTTTGTATAAATTAGAAATTTATCCCTTTAATTTAATTATGTGTCCCCGGCGTGTCCACAGCATGAACAAAATTAAAAGGTTAAATGATAATTTTAGTCCCTCAACTTTCGGGTTTTGCACAGTTTTCGTCCCTCAACTATTTTAAGCAATTTTTTGGCTCCTCAACTCTAAAAAATGTACTTTTTTCATCACTCAGTCAATTTATCCATTAAGTTTGTGTACATATGCACATTTTTAGTCCCTAAACTTATAAGTTCAAGGACTAAAAAAATGCATATATTATAAGTTTAAGGATTAAAAATGTGCACATTTGGATAGACTTAGCAGACTAACTAACGAAAGAACAAAAAATGTGCATTTTTCAAAGTTAAGGGACAACAAAGTGCAAAAAAAATTGAGGGAAGAAAACTGTGCAAAACTCCAAAGTTGAGAGACTAAAATTGGCATTTAACCAAATTTAAAGAAAAAATTGGATGCTCTAAAAAGTACATGTCTGACGTGTCTGGAACATGTCCAGGTGTTGGACATGGACACTGTCAGAGTGTCCGTGCATCATAGATGGAGACAAACCTTCAAAATTGCAGCACGAAAAAGATTGGGGCATATATTAATCACAGCACCCACTAGAAGACATCCAGCACTAAGTCCGATTGCACCAAGCTGATCTCTATGAACATAGCCCTCATCAATAAGGTAGTTGCCACATGATAGAAAGTCATAAATAGAATTCTGTTTGAACAATCCACTCCCAGATTTATGCCATGAAGAATCACCATCACCACCCCTGCACAAAGAAAACAGAGATTTTGATACATATTTCAGATTTTATAAGCAAAAAAATGTAAAAAAACTCAGCAGTAAGTATAAGCTTATTCTCTATGGCATAAACATTATAAATCAATGACAACAAACCAAGATATATCAACTAGATCTTGGAATAACTCAAGTGAAAACTATCTAGTACAAGCTTGAACCATGCATTGATCTAATGCAAAATTAGGGTTGGGAAATCAAAGGATATAATAACACATTGAAGGGAGAGGAAAGGAAAAAAGCAAAAGCAAGAAGTAATTAAAAGAGATGGTGTGGGACAGTTAGGGAGGATTAAATTAAATTGACACCAAATTCATTACAAGTGTAGGAAAGCAGCCAAATTAAGATTTTGACAGGTCAAAATACAATAGGAATGTGGCTGACCAGGGTTTATAGTTGTGAACCAACATCCATATCATTTGTTACTATCATATAATGTTTCATCAAATCTCATCAAATCTGACTATTCTAATTGATTTTAGAACAAAAATATTTCATCAATACTGCTATTTCACCGCTAAATTAACAAACAGTAGATGATGCCAACCTTACATCGGCAAATGCCACCACCCAACCACGGTCAAGTAAACTCAAGCGGTGACTGCACCAGCTTTTGTCTAGAGCTTCCCCGTATGCTCCATAGCCTTGTAAAAGCCCTGGAGACTGGCCCCTCTTCCAGGCTTTTCGAGAGTACAAGATGGTTAAAGGGACCCTGACACCGTCAAGGGAAATAACATCCTTCCTCTCACAGCAATATGCACTAGAAAATTCCTTCCATCTCTTTAATTCAATACTTTGGTTGCTTTCACTGTCTTTACTGCAAAGGTGAGCATCTAGCCCGTTATAAGCTGGGGAGCATAATCCATCACCACCAGAAGCACCCCTTACATCGTCTTGTTGAACAATTGAGAATATCCGATTTGACATGTCATAGTCAACAATCACATCAGGCATCTGTGGGTTCAAAATAGAAAAAGTATAGAGAAACTCAGAAGCTATCAAATCAAAACAAGTGCACAATGTTAAACTTGATTACAAAGACTAAATAAAATTAGTCAATACACTCTAGATTCTTGAAGAAAATTGTCTCCTAATATATTCATTATCATTTACAAATGTAAACTACAAGCACCCTTAAGATGGAAAACAATTTAAAAAGTTCACCAGAGAATAACTTAATTTACTTTTATCAACTCGACAACAGGTAAGATTTCCCAAGTCCCAATGTATATTCAACTTGTGATCCCTATGTGGTAATAATTTTTTATCTCAAGTTTTAAAAGGCAGACGCTACAAGATGATGGTTCTCAAGATATGAGAAGTCAGTGAATTAGTACATTTTTGTGATTTGTGAATTGTCTAATTAGCATGATTGAACCTAGTTGTTATTATACTGTGTTAATGCTGAAGAATAGTATTGAAATCAATTCAAGTGCCCAATTATACTAATTATGACTTTCATTGTGATTGGTACCCTATATGTTTGGTTATAGCTTATAGCTGTGCCTTATATTGATTGAGCTTTTAGCTCACCCCTTTCTTCTCCTCACCTTATAGATAAATAGCTTAGGAGTAATAACAGTTACCGAGGCTCTGGAGCTTTTGGTGTGGGCCCCACATTTGTTTTGCATAGGAACTATGACCTTATTGGACTTTGAAGCTAGGCAAATCAATGTATTACCAAAACAATGGTTCTGGTCAGGATATTTTGTAATTCATTTTGCAAAGTACACATCCATGTTTATCATTGAAAGAAGCTGAGCCTTGTTCATTTCATAACCTTACTTTTGAATATCTCAGTATTCTTTTGAATTACAGATTTGTTCAACTGGTTTTAGATTTGACTAAATGTCATGAAATTTTATATGTATTGCATCATGTGTATCAGTTTTAAGAATTTAGTTTCAACTGCTTCCAACACGTTTTATTATGCATCCTAATGTTCTTGAGTATCACTCCATTGCTTTAAAAGTTTAGTTCAGGCTCCCTCAAGTCCAAGGGAATCCCCTAAATGGTGTATTGCAGTAAATGAGAAGAAAAAAAGTAACAAAGTGGTGAGGCTGCTGAGGCAACATGCATATTTAATGCAAAATATCATAACTAGGTTAGCAAAAAGTTTACCGTCGGAGATGAAATCACCATCCTGTATATAGATTGCACGAAGTCATGGTTTGAACCTGGTATGATACTACAGGAATTTGAAGGCATGGGGAAGTACCATGGATTAAGATCCTTAATCTCCATCTGATGCTGCATTCATGCAAAATTGCAAATAAATAAACTAGTTTTTTGAATTTAAAAACCAATAAATGTTTAAGAGTACACTTATCATTGTGGTTAAAATTTTCCCAAGGTAGTTGGAGCATATTTATCAAATATAATCAACACATTAGAACAAAAAGTAGAAATTGGTCACACCAAGGAGAGATCAAATGTTTGTAGGCAAGATATCTAGAACTTTTAAAGAAATGTTAGGATTTATAACCTACTCTGTTAGAGAAAGAGAGCCTTCTTCAACAATTGAAGGCAAATAAGTAACAGACAACTATGCAATGGGTTTAGCATAAAAAGGGGAAAAAAAAAAAAGCCTATGAGATGGGTTTCAGAAAATTTCTGGCAGAGGTAAGATTCAGCTATTAAGATGTTATTTGGAAGGTTTAAAATCATGTAGATGAGATATTTTTGAATTTAAGGATAAAAAGGTAAAAATAATGTGTGATTGGATAGCAACAGAAGAGGGAAATCACACTTTCAGGTGATAATCTTTTGCTGTCAAGATTAACTCAATCCACTAAAGATGCAGAAGATCAAAAAAGGAGGGGAAACTACCTGGCTGTTCAATCATTATTTCACAAGTTTCTTCAAGCCTCATCAATAACTAAGTTGGCACAGAACTTAATTTAAAAAATATTAAGACATAAAGCAATATCATGATACATTCAGTTTTAGCCCTAAATCTTTGCACCAACGTTTTATTGGCCTAAACTACTTGAATTTGTTTTCAAGGAGTCCTAACACAAGAACCCATCCATTAGACATAAAATACAGGCTATAAATTTGTAGATAGCAGATTAATTATGTACATAGACACACTGCAATGCGCTATTTTTTCATTTCATGCAATAATTTCTGAACTAGCTGGTTATTAACTGTTAGAAATTAGTGATTACCAATTTTTAGTCAAAAACCCAAATGATCCCTAATTATGTAATTCATCCATTTTTTGAGCAGGGCAATTATAGTGGGATGGGAAGGGGATTTGCTTAGAGGTTGAACCTAGTTGGCATCACCCATGGGCTGTTCTCACCTAACCTCTGCAGCGTGGTCCATGTTGCAGTGTTAGGTTACAGAAGCATTAAATTGGAGATGATAAGAGGACAGCCAGACCAGTCAACAAACGAAACTGCAACATTAAAGTAATGAACCCTCGTAGTGGATCCAACGGTGAAGAATGAAAACCTTATCCGGTCCATATTCTCTACCCAAGACCACTCAGGTTAGATTATCCCACCCTCAAAATTTTAGTATTTTGAGAGGGGATTTAGTGGGGGGCTTGATATTCTCATCTGAAGAACAAGTTTTAAGGACAATGTTTCTTGCCCTCATAATGAATGCAGTGCCCGGAAGGAAAATGTGTTCATTATATATTATCATCCCTAATCCTCTTATTGTCAAAAGGAATATAAAAAAATGGCTTTTTATTGTTTACTATTTATTTTTATACTGCAACACAATCATCCCTAATTCAATTCTAGCAGATATAAGGAACTAATAAATACCCTAAATAAACTATAGAATATAATTAACCTATATCTTGCAATCCTATTAGCATTGAAAATTCATTCCCTACCCAAATGATCAAAATTTTAAAAAATAAATAAATAAATAAATGCATCAATCATTTCAAAGAAAAAGAAGAATCATCTTGGCAACTAGACCTGGCAAACAGGTTGGGTCAAGTGGGTTTGGATTGGATCACCTAAGATTTCAGATTTATTGGGTTGGATCATTTCAGATTTCAGGTTAAAATAGGTAGATCCATGACCCATACACAGGGGTCTTAGATTGGGTTAGGTAAACCCAACTTTTTGAAAAATTAAAATTTTTCAATACTTTCTCTATTTTCCTTAAAAAAAATTTAATATTAATTAGTTATTTAATCAAACAATTTATTAAATTAATATTAATTTTAGTAATCTAATAAATAATAACTATCTTATATATTTAATTTTATTTTGTATTTAAAAATTAAAATTAAAAGTATAATTAATAAAAATTTAAATTTAAAAAATTAATTAATTTTAGTCGAGTTACTATGGGTTGGCCCAACCCTATCCTAACTCAACCCAGTTGCATTCGTAATTTTGGTTTAGGTCATATTGGATTCTGAATCAATATCTTAGACCCATGACCCAACCCATAGTAGATGGCTTGGGTTAGATCTTTGGATTGGGTCCAATTTTAAAGATACCTAAAGAATCTAAAATGCTCTAAAACTTAAATTTCAATCACTAAATAGTAATTGCCTGAAAAGAAAAGAAAGAGTTTCCATGAGCTAGAAAATTAAGACTAACACTTCTGCACATATGAATTTAAAGAAAAAAGGGTCAACTGATATCTTCTATCTATTTTGGCACAAGCACAATGTTACAAATAAATGAGAATATCAAACAAATTGTCATACCTTACAATCAACTTTTATTGGCATATCAATGGAACATATAGTGCGCAAGCCCTTCTTATTGAGAAAAAGCACCAGATGTCCTTTAAAAATGTCCATATCTTCTAAACTGATATCATCACCTGGGTAGAAGATATTCTAAATGAAAAAGAAAAGGTTTAGAAATGTTTTAATATAGTAATGTTTGGTCATAGGATGATGGTAAACCTTGAAACTTCTAGTCTTCTATGGAAAAAGGTTAAAGATAGAAAATATTCTAAATGAAAATAAAAGAAAAAGTTTGGAAATTTGTTAACAAGTTCGGAAATATGTTAAATTTAATGATGCTTGATCACATGATGGTGAACCTTGAATTATTTCTACAGAAACAAAGGTTAAAAGAAGAAGAGTAATAATGACAACTTGACAAGACCTAAGGAATCCATAATTATTATATGCCAAACAATATAAAGAAAAGAAGAACCAGACCTGCCAATTGTTTAATTGTATATCCTCAACTCGGCATCTAGCCAATAAATAACCTTCTCTGAAGGAATCCATATGTCCACTTAAGGAAGCATTTGTAAGAATGTAAAAAAATTCAGAGTGATGTTCCAAAAAATACCGTACTCCAGAAACACGTTTATGTATTCTTCGCAAACCACTCATAGGATTGGTTGCATCTATTATGTAAACCTGTAAAATAAGCATAGGGTATAAGCATTACCATGAGAAACTATTATTTGTAATCTAAAATTAGAAAAGAAGGGAATGAAATCAGTAGATTCCTTCCTCAGATGAAGTCCTTGAATTTGAATTCACAGTTATAAACTTGCCATCCTTGGTGCTTGTTATGTCCACACAAACGCTAGGATCACATTCTGTATATATTGGCTCATCATCTACATATTTTGATCGTAGTTTTTTACAGAAAACCCTGCAAGAAACAGATAGAGATATAGAGACATATTATTTCAATCTCTAAGTATAAGGAAAGAAAGCATCAACAGAAAGTGTTTTCATTAACAAAATTTTGCCTGTTAGGACGTTGTCCCTCATCTGAGACTGTATAAAACAGGGCCTTGCTATCCCGAGCCCAAGCCAAACTAACAACCCCATCAACTGATGCACTTGGAACAATACATCCATTCTGGAGATCCTTAATTTGAAGCATGAAATGTTCACTGCCAGAGCCATCAACTGTGTATGCTAGGAAATTGTGGTCAGGGGAAATTCTACATGTACCAACATGCACATAACCTGTATGGGAAACATGCAACACTTACCACATCCTAGTTTTTAAAAATATTTATTCAATATTAAATGCCCTTGAACCAGAGAAATACTTCAGAGCAGCAAGTTGAGATCGATGAATTTATTTTTCTAATCTTCCAAACATTAATTTCTATTGTTCTATTCCTACTTTTAACATGAACCATATATTTCTCTAACCTTCCAAGCCAATTTAGCCATTAGGGAAGAAGGATTAACCTGCCACGTCAGTATAACGTAGAAATAATAAAAAGATTAACCGAACCCACTTCCAGGTATAAACCAACCGGAAGTCACATATAACAACACTGAAAAATTTTCCAAATTGCTTCACGTTAACAATTGAAACACAAGCTGGTCCATGACAACAAGCACCGTAAGGAAAGAGGAAAAAAAAATGCAGATTATAGAAGCTTGCCATATTTTTCAGCTAGTTCATTCCAGTCAAGCAGAATTTCTTCCCTTCCAAATCCTCCTTTGGAATAACAAAGAAGATATTTAATCCAATTACTTGTCCTCGTTTCTAGTCTCCTGCATAGAACTGGGTATTCCTTTCCCTCTGGTACATATTGGTAATACAACCTGCTCAGGTGTAAATAAAATCACACTTCATAATTTTCAGAAAAAAAGAAAAGAAAAGAAAAGAAAAGAAAAGAAAAGCGAAAAACACCTAAAATTAATAAAGTTAAAAACAAACATTATCTTAATAAACTGGAAAATAGCCAAGCACCCCTATAGTGACCAATCACGAGCCACAAAATAAAAATAAAAAAATTTATAACATACAACACAATTATAAATGTTCCAAACAAAGAAAGAAAGAAAAGGATGAACAGAAAATAGCGAAATGCACGAACCAGGGTCCCCAACGTTCAGGGGGAGTGGAAACCATGGTAGACATTCGGCTCTTCATCTCAGAGACAAGGGTATGCTGCAGATTTTTAGTATCAGACATGAAAGCTTGAGCATAGAAGTTTTCTTTGTTGAGATGGTCCAAAAAATCAGGATCATCGATATCGCGCATCCAATGGTAAGGATCTTCCAACGTCAGCCCGTGAACAGAGACCGTGTGGGGAACCATTTTCGGGACGGGAAGAGGTAAGGAAGGAAGTGCGATTGACTCTGCATTGCATTTGGAAGAGAATGACAGGGAAGAGAATATGGTGAGGGTTGGGCGGAATGGAAGAAACAAAAAGGACCTTTTCACGGAGGAATTGAATGTTAACTGGCCGAGGAGAAAAACCGTCGTCATGACGGGAGCTCGGCCGACGGAAGCGAAGCAAGGTTTAGCCGTCTAGGGTGCGTCTCACCTGTGTTTGTTTTTTAGTCTGCAAACCAACATGTATTTGAATGGGAAATAATTTTTGTACATTTTTTTTCCAGCCATTTGTACAATCAGATCTCTCTGGTTAAAATGATTAATGCTTTTACTTCCTATAATATATATAAAAAAATAATATAAAAAAATTATCCACACGTAACACCATCGTATTTGAATCTTATAAGAAGGGTGGATGTAGAGGCCGAGCTAGAAAATAATCTGGCAGACTGCAAATGTATTTTAGATTTATATATGGTTGAATGTAGTTTTTGATATTTTTAGGATGATTGGTGGTACTAGGATAATTTTTAATATAATTTTTATATGTTATTAAATAAATAAATATATTTAATATTACAAATCTTATATAAATTTAAAAAATTAATTATTTAATTGATATATCAAAAGATATTACAAAAAAATTATTCCAAAATTATTTTTTTTAAGATTATGTATTTAAAGAAATTAATTTATTTATATTGATTTTAAAATTTTAATTTTGAATTTGTTTTATAAAATAATACTAGTTTAACAATGAATTCAATTTTGGGGTTTATGAAATATATATGTTAAAAATAAATTTTGTGAATTATAAATAAAATTAAAACTTAAATATTTAGAAATTAAATTTGAAGTACTTTAAATATAAACAAATTAGTTAAAATTTATGTAGATTTAAATTTTAAGTTGAAACACAATTTCTATTACTAAACATTAACTTAATACATTTCATAAAATAAAATTAAATGTGCTAAAATATTAATAATACCAATTCCAAATCATTCTAAAGGGTGTTTGAAATAATTAAAAATTTTAAATTCAAAATTAAATATCTCAAGTTTAAACTATGAGGCAAAGTGGAGAAAGATAAAAAAAAAGATGAAGGTTATTTTTTATTATATAATTTATTATTTAATATAACGACAAAAAGTCAATTCAAAATCAATTTTATTATATTATTTGATATAAATGATGATTAACTAACTATAAATATTAGAACAAACAAACATTTCAAATAAATAAAAATATTTTTTATAAATTTATTTTACTTGTTAAGTTGTTTGTGTTTTTTCTACAACAAAATTAATCATTAAAAATATATGTTTTCAACAAAATATATATTTTTATATATCTTTTATATATCTCTTTTTTGTTCAAGTACCATTGGTTCACTATAATTGAAAAATATATATTTTATTAAAATTTATTCAAAATAAACATAAAACTTATGAAAGAATAAAAATCAAAATACACTATTGTATTTTTTAAAATGTAAGGTTTATTTGACTTTTCATAAAAATATTGGACTTATTTAATTTTTTTTAGAAGTCCAAGTACCAACACCTTCTTTGCACCTCTTAGCTTCGTCCCTTCCTAGGTAGAGGGTAGAGTCAACCATACAGATTAGGGTATGTTTGGTTTTAAGGGAAGGGAGAGAATTTTTTTTATTTGGTTACTAAAGGTTGGAAGGGAAAGAAAGAAAGTTCTTTGTTTTATTTTTTGTTTTAAATTTCTTTCATTATCCAAATGAAGGAAGCGAATAAAGGGATATGGAAGGCCTATTATCTATTTAATGTGGTTTATAAGCTAATATCCAAAGTGTTGGCTAATAGGGTGTTGTCATGGAGTGTGTTTGGTCAGCAAGTTAAAAAGTGATATGAATGCTAACAAGGATGCAGTATGACAAAATGGTGACTTTGTTGGGAGGTCATCCAACTGAAGTGTATATCTTTTCTACAAAACTTCATTTTCAACAATATCTTTTCTCCAACAAAGCTTTTCAATAATGCCAATCACAAGAGGAAACTTGTCAAGCATCACAAAGGGTGCTTAAGATCCCAACCATGTAGATGGACAAGAGGTACACCAATAACAAGCTATAGTAGATTTATTCAATGAGCTTCTACAAAGAATCTCTTATTACAACTTTTCATCTCTTGTGTAGATCATTCAAGTCATGCATGAAGACCATTAGAAAACTACTCAACTACTCACTAGCTTGCAAACACAACATGTTACACATGATCTAGCTTTGCCGATCAATATCATTGGTAACTCTCAACAAGAAGTCCATCTCCGCTACCAACAACAATGAGGGCTCTATAACACCCCATATACTTGAGTGAATAAATTAGAAATTAGAGTCCTTTATTTTATAATTTTAGGGATTTAATTGATTAGATTTAGAGTTTGAGGGTTATAAGTAAAATTTAGTAGAAGTTAATGGATATTTGACTCCATTATGCCAATTTTTGTGCCATGGCACAATATTTACCAAATAAATTTATGCTTGGACTCTAAAGATTTTAGAAACTCTGTGAGTCTTCCTCCGGAAGATTTTAGAAAAAAAAACTCCCTTTTCACATAAACACTCGAAAACCCTTTTCTCTTTACCCTTTTAAACTTCCACCAAAGAGAAAAGACTTTTGAAGATTTCAGCATGGAGCAGACTATTTAGTGACTTTCTTATTCAACTTCTGCTATTAATTCCTACAATTCTCTTCAATTTGATGCTTTAATTTTTAAGTAAATATGAGTTTTAGTTACAAATTTAGGTTAGACTTCTTGGGTGGATTATAGATTTACCATAATATACTAAAAATTAGTTTAAGTTAGTAAAGATTTGACTGTAGATCCTTTGTTTAAGGGACTTTTGGGGTACTAAATTTTGTTTAGGAATATTTGTGTTTTGGGTGTATGCACCAATGTTGGAACATAATTTAGGAATGCATTTTAAATTTCATAATTGGTTTTAGTATGAAAATCTATTATCTACAATTTCTATTGTTGCTATGGACTCCATGTGCTTGCTTTGTGTGATGATTTTCTTATGAATTAATATGGCAAAATAATTCCATATGTTTATTTAAAATTTAGAGTGTTGTTCATGACTTTGGATTGGAAATAGTGTTCCTTAATTATTATGATCATGCATTAATTGCATTATTAAAATAAAAAAAATAAATTCCTAATTTTAGGGATGAAAGCTGTGATTTAGTATTAGAAATTTTTTGTTAATTGCTGTAGAAATGCATAAATGGAATTAATAAATGAATGGATATGTTCTTATATTATTTTGAAAGTGTTTTGAATTTGTTTGACGTTTGTATGTGTTTGTGGTTATAGAGTAAGTGAACCTAAAGCTTAAAACTTGGGTATTCAATGGATCCTTCAAGGTAATTAATGGACCTCTACACAGCAGGGTGGGTGCCATGATTAGCTCCGATTCAAGTGTTGCTAGTACACATCAATGGACTTCATAACATTGTGTGATTTTTGTTTTATGCATCATGCTTGTGACATCGCATTTGTGAGCATAAGGTTTTATGATATGAATTTGATTCAAATGTCATTGGATATTCTTTGACATGTTTGATTGGTTGTAAACAACTTTGTGATATTAAATTATTATTTAAATACTAAGATTTATAATATTATGTGGCTTGATTTAATTGTCCATTATGTTCTCCATGTGTGTATGTTGTCTATGTGTGTAGGTCTAAGGGTCTTAGGACTCAAGTTTGTAACTTTAACTTAATACTTATTAGGTTTTAGCTCATGATATTTCCCCCCATTTTAGATTAGTAAATTAGAGTAGCAACCACCTAGTTTGAGATCTTTCGATATAGGTCTTTTATGCTCGTCATATGTAGAAGCTAAGACCTCATGGTTTTGATGCGAAGGCAAATTAATGTGTTACTAAAATGATGATTCTAGTTTTATTATTTTGGAAAGTTTTTGAACAGTATTTGCTTTCATGTATTTTTGTGTAAATTGCTTTTATGTTTTTAATTTATAAATCAATGAAAAATAGGTTCAGACTATGTTATTTTATAGCTTTGGGCATTTTATATCTTTCTTTAAAATATATTTTGGTAAATTTGGTTTTCCATTTATAAGAATTTTTCTTCCATTAATTATATTTTATATGATATGCAACATAATTCTTTTTACAAAAACACATTTTATAATGTAAAAGTGTTTTATTTCCGCTGCTTTATTTTTTCTAAATTTTTTGGTTAAGTACTCCCGCACTCCCACAATACCAATGGTACCTGAGGGAAGTGTGTTACATGTTTCTGCTAAGTGGCTAGACAACTCTATACCATCAGTAATTACAACCACTAGCACTAATAGAGCACCTCCAAATGTAGTGAATTCCACTTAAGGCTTCATCATCACAGCAAATTGCTTTCTTAGACAAGGAATACTCTAAACAAAATTCTTCTATGTTTTAGTTTGTGCATGATTCGTCATATTTGAAGGAGACCTAATCTAAGCCATATCTAGAGAAATATGAAAATCCTTCATTTCCACAATATGAGGGGAGAAAAGGTAGTGCTATGAAACATGTTAGTAAGTCCCTTGTTGCCATAGGAGCTCTTGCCAACTATAAAGAATTGTGCTCAGTTAGTTTTCTAAATCTCTTTGATAGAGCTTATACATGATACACCATTTTACTTGACTCTATCTGTGCTTGGATGAAATGGTGGAGAAATTTTGACAAAAAAATACTTTTAGAGTGAGGAGTGAATTACCATCCTTGATTTCTACAACACTCATTAATGCTCTAATGAAGACCCAATGTCTTATGTGAAAAAATATATTCAAAACAAACTAATGTAGGCTAAAATTAAATAAAACCCCAAACACAAGGTAGAAGTTATAAATAAGAAGCATACCATAACATCTCATGCAATCTCAAGCCAAAAGGAAAGAAAGATTAATGAAGGACTATCAAAGAGAGATTTGGAAAACTCATGCAAGCACAAATCTTTATCATGTAGCATAAGCCCCCATAGCATCAAAGAACTCGTTGACATGTTCCAAACACTACCTTTCCTCCAATCATATTGTGGAAACAAAAGACTTTCATATTTCTTTGGATATGGTGTGGATAGGATCTCTCCTTTAGATATGATGGATCACACACAAATTGAAAAGTTGAAAGATTTTGTCTAGAGCT